ACAGCACAGCTGACCAACAAGAAATAAAGTCTTGGGAGTGGAACAGCTTTCGACTGCACAGATAGCCGTGGAGCTTAAAATATCACAATATTTACAACTTGGGATCTTCAAAAACGCTGGTCTTAGCTGGAGGTCAAGAATTCTTGGCCAAAAGTAAAACTGTATTACTTTTAACAGCTGTCAATAATGCGCAGTAGTAACCAAGAATTTCGATGCGCTGGAGATTGAGGCACTTCGGTACGGACGCATGCATTTTCCTTGTGAAAATTGCGAGAGTCACGTTACATAACACTCAAAAAAAAAAAAAAGAAAATAACGGGGCCGACGAAAGGGAAGGGGACGGGATGAGAAAAAGCGGTACAGGGGATTATGGGAATTTCAGCGCTTAAATGCAAAATATCATAACAGTTCTAATTTGATCCACAGACAAAGGCAAGCTAACCGAATTGAAAGAGTTGTATCTGTATTTGCATACATGATCGTCACAATCAGAAATGATAAACGACTGATCACTCATCGCAGCCACTGAGCTAAGCCCATATTCAGTCTGTAAAATTAAGTTTCTGAAGCTAAGTCTCATCAGTAAAAGCTCGTTAAAATGACAAGAATACCAAGGCCACTCGAACTAATAGTATAGTATTCCTTTGTTAATGACTTTACTAGGACGTTCCTATCCGCAAGTATAACTCTGCCAGCCTCTTGGTCCCTTAACTGCACACTTCCACTTAATAGCCGCTACCTTTTCTGTGTATGTGCGTTATCTCTTCGGCGGTCGCCCGAGTGGTCGTTCGTTTTTGGCATAGAAGAGCGCAGTCGCGGCACGACAAATCATCCCCAGCAGCATTTTTTGGCCCAAAGACAAGGTATTCACAATCATTTTAAAAGATACACAATCACGGGTTACTTCCAAATGCAGCGTTACTTATGGAACGGCACAAGACTACTTATTTGAAAGCCAGCGAAAATCAGAGGAATCATATGGTTATTCGAGTTCATGCGAAATGACAAGGAAACTTACAGGCACCCAGCTCTCAAAATGCCTAGAAAAAGAAAGCGCAGACATTCGTTACTATCACTTTGAAAGAATTTTCAATGCTATGAAATGACAAAGCTAAAAGTATCGAATTCGCAAAAAACTAAAATAATTCCATTTTCACTGCTCCTCAAAGGCTGCAGTCATTTACTGCTTATGCATTATGCATTTTATGCTTTCTATTCAAATGCAAAAGTGCATATTGATGGTACTCGTGTGCGTGTGCGCATGACTCTGTGTGTGTGTGTTTGTGTATGTGTGTGTGTGTGCGTGCGTGTGTGCGTTTACGTGTTTTTGTGTGCGCGCATGTACATACGTGTATATAAATATATATTTGTGCACGTTTCTGTTTGTATGTGTATATATTTGCTTTTGTGTGTGCATGCTTATGTGTACGTACACGGATGCATGTCCTTGTATTTGCCCATATTTTTTAAAACCGCAAAACGATAATCACTTTAGAGAATACGCTGTAATCTTACGCGATAGTTGCACACATATAAGCAGTCTGAGGTGAGAATGGACAAAGAAATGGTGAGATTCTGGAGGGAGCTGAGGTAACCGTGGTGACGGAAAAGGCGAAAATGAGGGGAGAAGTGTTAAAGCTGATTGTGGGAGGATATAGGAAATGAGTGCAAGAAATGTTGTATTGACCCCCTGTTGCGTGCCATTATGAAGAAATCCGTGTCTGTTCGGCATAGATGGACTGCCAAGTGCTTGGATCCTAACCGAGCGAAGGAGTACCTTATCCCTCAGCTTTAGAGTGAAAGTTCCATTTTTCTTTTCAGTGGCAGCAGGCAGTTGAGTTGTATGACCCAGCTTCGATAAGTTAGGCCGAAGAGATTCACATCTAACTTTTGCAGTGTAACGCATTTCTTGGACTCGTCTGCGAGTGGCTGTGGTATTCTCGTTCACTGCAACTTCATAGAGCCACTCGGGTGTCCGAGGGTCGAATAGCAGCATACGCGGAGGCTCTCCCGGCAAGCTGCCTACCATTCTGCCAAAGTTACCATTCCCCGCAAAATAGAACGGCTTCTCAGCAGCCCTGAAATGTGTATTAGTCGGAGGATTTTTTAAAGCAATTTTCGAAATTTAATTTCAAAATCATAGAGGCACGCATGGCAACTAATGAAAACACAGAGCGAGCGCTGGCTGTGAAAAAGGATAGCGCTAAACTGGCGTTCCTCTCCGTCAGATGAATGGCATGCAAAAAATCACTGCAACCACGCAAGAAAGTAAAATTCGTTGGGCAGAACATGCTGCTTCCTTTCCATCAACCGGTGGATGCCGCGCATTAATAAATTGTACTAGCCGACCGCTCGGGTGACTCCGAAGAGGTAATGCACACAAGATAAACAAGCAGCAAGCACTGTGAAGCATTCCAAGACCAATTGGCCTGCTATAGGTAGCGGCTAGCTTATCAATAACATCACTAAGATACCCCCACAGATTGCCCGGGCAAAAGTCCTAGCATTCTTGATATTATGAATTTTAGCAATATTAGAAATTTTAACTTTTTGGTCCGACAAAACCCGATTTTTTTTTTGCTAAATTATATACAGAAAATTGGTGACAAGGTTTTATAATTCAGAAAAATTTTGTTAGAAAAAGAAGCCCATTTGTTGAAAATATTCTAAGAATGAGGGCCATAAAGACCAAAACTTACACTTTTACAAATGTATACACAGTTTTTATTCTTGTTTGCTTCTTCATCTAGAGTACTCTAAAAACTTATTGCACGAATGAGAACTGTTAGTATCACAACATGCACTCCTGCCAGCACACAGCTTTCAGCCATAGCTCTTTTGGTTCTCTGGAACTTACCACGATCCTCGGACCTACGCATGGGGAGTTGTATTATCTTAGCTATTTGATGAATTCAGTACACACCGATATTCGAGGTCTGATGTACTGCCAGCAGTCAAGTTGTACTTCTGCCCCCACTGTTCATGCTCCTGTTGCCAGAAACAATAAAGACTGGTCTGACTGTGATAGGTGCAACTGCGAAGCTTGTAAGCCGAATACAGAGTTGAGTATTCAGTAAGCAAACTGTCCAGGATTGTTCGGCGCAAACGCTTCTTGTGTGCTATCGCATTGATATTTATCCTAAATTCTTACAATTTTCTGGAAAAAAAAATACATGAAATATCGGAATGGTTTTTCACTGAAAATTTTTACCCCACAAAGCGAAACTTTAACACTACCCTCAACAGTTAAAGCATTCACACAGTCACTTGCAAGAATACATAACCGCATCTGGTGGCTATAAATTTATTAATTTCCACTCCCAGCCCCCTAATGGGCTGCTAAATTTTTGCTCAAAATCGAACGAAAGAGTTTCAAGATTCTTGTTTGAGTTTCAGTAATCATCACGATTTTCAAGAGTACTTGAAGGCTGTTATCTTCTGAAACAACCTGACT